CGTTGTTGTCTGCGTTTATCGTTATGTGATGCGCTGGCATTAAGTATTAATTCTGATGTTAAGTATGCGTTGAGCGGCGTTTTTCATTTTCATAACTCATAACTGGTAGGTAATCCTTTGCCATGCCGCGTGCATTGTTGTTGCTATTGGTGTTGTCGTTGTCGTTGTCGTTGTGCTCATTGTTGCTTGCCAGCTTGAACAAGCTTTTGAAATATGAAGCCGACAAGGATTTAATAATTGTTCCATATGTACGAGCGTGTTCGTTTGCGTGTATGTGACAGGAATGGAATCGAGCAGCGGAAATCACCCTTTCGCTGACATGCACCCACTGCTACTTACTTAGCTGTTGTTTTTGGTTGCTACCACCGCTGCTGATACGTTGCTGTCGAAATCTATAATGAATGCCCGTGATTCTCTATGTACATAATATGTATCTACAGGGCTGCCAACTTTGCTCAAACCGTGCCATGTTTGGCCCTATTTTCATAGTTGCCAACTTGGTGCTTTAAGCACTAGATTTAGTGCTTTTTGAAAATTAAAACGCCAAAAAAAATGGTTTAGTGACTAGTGCCCTTTTTAGTGCTTTTTTCTGAACTAAAATTTCTGAATTTACAAAAATCTACAAATTTAAATGCACTGAAATGCAAACCATGATGAATAAAAAGATGAAGTTGCAAACCCACGTTCTTGCGTTCTTGTTAAATTGTATTCGCATTGAAAATGCTAGCACGCAGATAGGTTAAGTATTAATTTTTTTATTTTCTTGATTATTGATTAGTTCGAAAAATTTTAACTTTTTTCCCCACCTGAGTTCATCGGTTTTAGTAGATTTTTCGGTGCTGAATCCAAATCTGGCTGCAGAATTTCTCTACCACGTCAGAATTTTAAAATATATCTTAACCTCTAATTTTAAAAACACGGTTTATTATAAAACAAAAATTGTACAAAGCTCAACAAAAATATTAAAAATAAAATGTTAACAAGCCACAATAACATTGACAAAAAATTGTTTCGCTCATTTCGACTTAGGGTATCATTAAGTATTACTCTTCCCCTTCAAAATTCAATTTCGTTTGTTGCGATTCGATTGTTCTTTCTCCAGATGTACCAGTTTAAATGTGCAGTACTTCGGTATTACTTCGTAAGCATGAATGTGTATTTATTTATACAAGTAAATATTGTTTATTTTTTTACTTTTGTTTACCATAAACTGGTATGAAAAAAAGTATCCTTTGATTAAAAAAAAATTTAGTGCTTTTAGTGCGGCAAAACGCTCTTTTTTCGAAGGTTGGGTGCTTTTTGAAACTCAAAAGTTGGTAACACTGCCTATTTTACTTCAAATGGCACTGCAGTTTTCCATTTGGCTCAAAGTGCCAAAATGTACCTTATGACACTTCATAAATAAGTATAGTTGGCAGTCCTGAATATGTATGTACTTATATGGCGCGGTGGTGGTTCGTCGTCGCCTTCTCAATGACAACATTCAACATTCATTATGTGGAAATTATAATGAGCCGCGCACACACATATGCACATATGCATACATATACATATACAGTCACGTGAAAAATAATAATAGATTGGCGCTTACACAATTAGGTGGTTCACAAGATGTCGTGAGTGTCGTATTGTCGTATGACGTACAATTTTTAAACGCCTAAATACTTAAATATAAATAAAGTGTGAAATTTCATTACACGACTTTTATGGTAGCTTGGGAATCCCTTAAATATAAGTTTTAGCCATTTAAATTATACGGTGTACAACAATGCGACAGTATACAACACCTTATGAACTCCCTAAATATGTTATTATTGTTTGGCCGAGCTTCTCCACCGATGTTTGGCGGCGCCTTGATGTTGTCACAGACGGAGGCGGGACCTACCGTTCTACGCCGACTCCGAACGGAGGTTTGCCATTGCCAATCGCAAAAAAATTATTAAAAAGTCAACGCGAATTCTCCGTCACTTGAAATTTGAACTTTATTAAGCTAGGATTTAATGGGCTAAAAAACTGCATATAGAGAATTAAAAAAAAAATCTTAATAAAAAGTTTGTTGTGATAAATTTTGTTGAATTTTTCTAGTGTTTCTAAAAGTTTGAAATTTGGACTTATGTGGTTTTTGTTAGACAATGGGCAGTTTATTTATAAAAAAATAATAAAAACTTGCCAAATATCGTATCCCGTTTATTTTTCACATGATTGTACATCTTTAAATGTTTGTATTTATGTACATATGTGTTTACACGAATATTCGCTATATTATATGCAAACAATCGGCAACAACTCAACAAACGACAAGCGGCCCAGCCAATGTTGAATGGAAACAAGAAAATGGCACTGAGGACATAATTAATAAAAAATCCACTCTCGCCATCAGCATTAAAAAAATAACAACCAACAGCCATCACGGAAATGCATTGTGTGTTGAGATTTATTCTCGTTGTTGTATTTTCTGCTTAAAAGCACACAAGGATCAGCCCCCGTAATTTATTCAGTTGCATTCGTGTAATTCCGACCTGACGATTATCCCTGAACCAGCAGTGCATACTCGTACAAACAAATATGTGAGATTCTTCAGGCCCACAGCCCTAATAGTGTGGAGAAAGGTAAATATGTAGTAACCGAATACATTCGGCTGTACTGAAAAACATACTTTTTAGTTGAAAAACAAGAATATCGGTTCGAAGAAGTGGTACGCTTTTAAGACGAGGGACCTAGTGGGTCCCAGGATTGATCTCCAACCAAGTTATTTCTAAAACGGCTATTCCATGGCAAGCAATGACAAAACTTCGATTGTTCTTCTAATACAAAAAAAAACTTCTCATAAAAGCCATACCATTTTCTGGATATGGGGGTTCACAGAAGCGTTCTTCAATCAAATTCTGTAGTAGGGCGTTCTTGAAAAGATAGGGCGTTTTCGAACTGGCTACCGAGATAGGTCGATCTTCCACTTAGGTATCGAATTTCTTTATTTTATTTTTATACGAAATAAATTCTGCTAACTCCTTTTTTTCATTTATAAATTAATGGCATTATTCAAAAAAGTATATGTTGCTTTAAAATAGGTTTATAAAATGAAAAATATATGAAAACGTCAATTTATGAAGCTCTTTAAACCTGCTTTATTTTTTATGAATAAGGCCATAAAACTTTAGCGAAAAGAATCATTTTTTGTAAGGCCAATAAAGAGTAACAAAAGGGTATTTTCAAATCTTTAAGTAGTTATTAACAAATGATGCTTTTTAGTCGTAAAATTTTACTGAAAGCAGTTAGGAGGACTACTTGAAAGTAATACCTTGAGAAAAACAGTGAGAAAATAATCGGCAGACATTTTTGGTATACAAAATATGAGTAATTTTATTAACCTTTAAGTCCATATTTATCTTTTATTTCTTCTTATACGGTAGAGACGATTGACGTAAGTATTGACGAAAATATTCAAAATTATTTATTATTTATTTATTAAAGATTTATAGCCAAGAGCAAACGAATTTGCCATCCAAGTGAGTGAGTGGTTTTAATCCGAATTCGTTGCAACACTAGATGACCGATTCGCACAGAAGCCTTCAAATTACAGACAAATTAGTATCATAGATGAATGAAAGAGCACACCAGAAGACTTCATTCAGCTGCCTTTTGATTATGCAAATATTTACAAAAAAAAAAAACCAAAAACGAGCTTGTGCCATTCTTCAACTCCCACCAAAGAGTGAGTACAGCCAAGGGACACAACGAAGAAAGCCAGAAATTTCAATTTCGATATGTTGCGTCGAAAATAATGGAATGTCGCGCCATATTAAAATGAGTTTCTGCGAGAATTAAGGGTTGACATGTAATTGCTAATGACGTAGTTACACACATATATATGTAGATATATAAATATGTACATATGTATGAGGCTGTTTGTGAATATTATTTCATCGTTGTGGCGCAAAATTATGAATTCGTCAAAGCCCAAAGTGGTGGAAATATTAAAATCACAGCGGCGTGACATTTCAAGTACCTACTCGCCCAACGAGCAGGGAAATGTTTTTGGGATTAATGTACGTATGGCCGCCATTTTGTAATTTCGAGTGCATGACTGGTATGTATGTATGCATGCACACATTTCAAATAAAAAATGTTCTTTATGCATCTGATTTTGATTAGGCTCACGAATTCGTTGATTTTAGCAGCGCCATGACAAAGATGATCGCGCCACAGACGTAAAAATTGATCACTCATGTCTATGAAAAATCGATTTGGTGCTTGAGTCACAATTTTGTTGAATTCTCACAATGACAGGCCACAGCAGAGGCAGGCAAGATGTAAAGCCTCCTGCTATTATCTGGCCATAAAAGGAATAACAATCGCATTATGAGTTAATTATGTAGCAATGAAAGTACAATTTTACGCAGATCATTACAACAACACAGCCGAACAACAGCCAGCCGAGTTTTAAAATGCCAAAAATATTGTAAAATTTAATGAATGATTGTTATTAATTATGATTTGAAGTTGGCGCACACATTCCGACATAGTCACATACACATGTAAACACACTGGTGTGTGTGTGTATGTATTTACTTATGTGGAAATTGGAGCCTAGACGGCCGTCGCTTCAGACCGCTTGCCTCGTCATCGTCGCCCAATCAAATGTAACCGATTACATATGTAGATATTTCATATTTTTCGATATTCATACACGAATCGAATATCGCAGCAACGCACCGACGCACGTCGCCCGCTTGCCGCTCCACGCCAAATGCGCCGTAGGTGGGCGCCGAGCGCAAACCAATCAGCGTGATTAAGAAAATGAATTCGGGGAAAAGCGCTTTTCATCTTCGTCCGCCAAGCCGCCAAGCCGACAAACGAGAACAGCGCAGCGTATTATCATGTCGCTTGCTGGCTTGTTATGAGCCGAATTACACTTGTAGCAAAAAGGATGCGATCGGATCGGTAATGTGCAATGGGATTTGCAGCGGCGCTAAGGCACATTCAGGGCAAAATTTACCTGCTTTGCGAAAATATCAAACTGTTTGATTAATGAAATAGCGCTGCCGAATGGAAATCCTTCCAAGGATTCGCGCACCGTTTGCTCGCGTACAACGATAGTCATAGTGGCCGCTGCGATAATTGCTGTACCTGCTGTCCGCTCAGTTGACAAGTGCAACTGCAACTGCAACGATTCAAATACACGGACTTTGATGCGTGCAAATGACAAATGTCGATCAAGTGCAAGTGCCTCTGTGCACCGCCACACTTCCACAGCCGCTCTGGAGATTAATCGTCGTGCGCTGTGCGAACCACCTCCGAGAACAAAGGAATGTCCTTTTCGTTTCGATTGTGCCGTCCTGTCTGTCCCTTGTCCTGCTAAGCTGACGTTTAATTTGTGAACAAAACAGCTGCCGGATAATTATCGATCCCTGCCATTGTCCTGTTGGTGGGTAGCGCATGGCGCTAAGCTCAACGAAGGTTCATCCGTTTCTTCTGTTTTCCATTTGTCTTCAGCGATCAGTACTCTAATTTTAAAGATGCACCAGACGCAATGGCCTTTGATCTGCATTTGCTAATTATTCATCCCTAGCGCCGCTGCTTTGTGGCACAGCACATTTCTGCAGGTTTTGCAATTGTAGAGCTCAGGGTCGATGAGTTGCCTATTCTTCTTGCAGGTTTCAGATCCTTTGGCTGAGCAACAATGAAACGGGTAAGAATTTAAAGTTAACAAAGCGTAAAATTTAAATTAGATCAGTGGCAATGGTCGTAGAGTTTCATTGTGGTACAGTTTCCTTTGGTTTCTGCGACCACCTCGATGAAACTACTTTCAAGTTTGACGACACAAAATTTCGCTTGTACAATTGGCGATTTCGGCTTAACTTCAGAACTTCGCGCTTTGTATTTGTCTTCGACGCAATGGATACAAGGTTTTCCCATTACCGCGTTACCTATGCTGACAAAATAGGGGGTCCGTGTCCACGGTATCTAGGAACAGCAAAAGCAACTTGCAACACAATTGCGTACATCGCGTAGCTGGCTCAGCATTGTTGCGGTTATCGCCGCAATCGCTGGTTGTTGCTGCCGCGCATGCGCTGATGGTGTTGGCATGTTGAATGCAGCCCAGCGACTGTGGCTGTTGTTGTCGAGATTTCAGCGCTGATAAGCAGCCGTTTGGTCAACGCAGTACCGCCTGCAGAAAATGCAAATGCAACAGCACCACTGCTGGTGACCGCGACTTGTTAGTCGACAAGCGTCGCGTCTGCATTACACACTGCATACCTCACCGCTGTCGACAGTGGCAAAGGCAGCGGTAGTGAAGGCGGCGCGCATGAGGTGAGGGCCACTTTGGAGCAGACACACAACCGCGCATGGAGCTGAGCTATGTGCCGCGCAGCATCCGCGCTCAGCGTAGCACCTCTTGCATGTTTACGTAAAAGCTAATAGTGTAGCATTTATCAGGCCTGCTTTGAATGAAAATAAAAGTGGAAAACTTCATTCAACGACACAGGCGATAAGATAAGTCGGCAGCAGCGACGCAGTATTTTGTGACAAGTAACATAGTTGCTTACTCGGAATTTCATCCGCATTCGCTCAATTATCCAATCCTTATCAATCTTAATGTGGCAGCAACAAAGGCTGCGTAGGGTTCACACCATACAGCGACAAGCGCAACACCAACAACATTACGTCACACCAAGTGTGAGAATAAATTTGACATATGTCAGAAATGTTTAGTCGAGCATCGCCGAACTGACATCCAACAAAACGTTTCGCTAATAAACCAAGTGGGACTATCACTCCGGAGCTGACATCAAAACATAAATACATACAAATATACACACACATACACACACATAGTTATGCGCATGTGAAGTAAATAGTTGCCGGTTGAACATGTCAACTTTCAGTTGATTGAATGTGGCAACAGTTGTTGGATGCAGGTTGCGAGCGTTTGGTGGATTGGAAAAGAGTCGAAAAACGGTTTGACATTTGACTGCCGCGTCCAACAGGCGGCGGCTGGCTACGGCGGTGACAATGACGGATTTTGATGGATATCCCCACTTGGACTTATTAACTAGATATGTATTTGTTGTGCAGTCAGCGGGGGAGGAGCGAAGTGCCAAGAAAATGTTGTACGCTCAGTTGGATTAAATGAAAGGGTTATTGCTTACTACTCGCACTAAAAACCAAACAAATTTCGGCAAAACTTATTATTTATTTCTTCAACAAATATTGATTGATTTGTCAACGTCCAGCATCTGTTGCTTCTAATGAGGAATTGTGGAATTGTATTATCTACCCCAGAAATTTGAAGTGTGCATTCTTCGGATTGCGAAGTATTCGATTAGGCTTACGGATTCTGAACGGATTTCTGCATTTGATATATTTGTGGTTTGGAGACAAACCGGTTTCGGTTTGCCATTTTTCCTCCTCTTACGTTCATACTGCTCGTATTTCCACGAGAAACTTGTATGTTCAGTTTCAAGAGCACTTTCAGCAAGCACTGTATCAAGGAGCTATGACCAAAGTGAATCGCGTTACTAATACTTAATTTATTCTTGTTGAAATGTAGCAGGTCCTATCTTAAAGTATCCATTTTTTATAAAGACGTAACTACAGGTTGGTCGTTTACAGACTGAAACCTCAGTATACTTCAGGGTATTCAGTGCCCTATAGACACAACTTTTGTGTCGATTTTAAATCTGCTTTTGGAGGCAAGAATAAAAGCTGGCTCCACGAAGCCATGTATAAATCTGGGATCCCATAAAAACCGTCCAAGTTGCGAGGCAACTCTCCGAGCCGTTTAGAAAAAACGACAAAGCTTCTTTAAACTAATGTCGCAGAGTACAATGCTGCTGGTGGCAATCATAACTTTGAAGTAGTAAAAAATCTTTCTTGTCTATTTAGGATCCAACATGAACACCACCGATTATGCTAATCTGGAGACCAAACGAAATAACACTCTTGCCATGGGCTGGATTCTGTAACTGTGAGAAAATGTAGTGTACGCCGAGAGCAAAACTCATAACCGAACACTCACAAAAAAAAAATCACTGAGTTTTTCGGATGAGCAGTGTACACATCTCTTGACAGTTGAAGCCCATTCTCACACTTCCCCTGGTTTTGAAAATACTATTGAATACTATCGATGTCCGACTGTCAATATTGTAAGTATTAAGGCAGGCTGGGGCCCGAGTATGAGAAGCTTCAATAAAATATTGCATATTCATTTGGTCGCAGAAGAGGTTTGCTCGCTTCAACCCTGCATTTAGTACTCGCAATGATTTGCTTACAATTGTTTAAATTTAGTCGTAGTACAAATTAGAGTTGTTTCGAAAGTTCCGAACGAATAAATTAAAATTTCTCTTACGGTTTTTTTGTAAATAAATTTTTAAGGTAAAAATTTGACCTGCGCATTCCAGTCGCCACAGCCAATGTGGAAATAATATTTTCTTAAATAAATTTGAATAATGCAAGAAATAAACTACAAATTCCAACACTCTCAGGTATTCGAAGATCTGTTAAAAAATAAGCTTCAGAAGGTACTAAACTCAAAATCAAACAATTTACGAAAAATAATGCAACCGAATTTCATTAAATTAGTGTAATTTAAATGTTCCATTCCATAAAGTATACTTTTGTTTAGTTAGATATAATTTAAGCGGTTTGTGTTATTTTATTTTAAATCAGTCGTTTATTGTTATTTTTTTTTTAATAAGTAAAATAAAAAAAAAAACACCTTATTTTTTTAAACCGTCTTCGTTTTATATTGCTACGGTTTTTTAGTCAAAAATACATCTTTTCAAAAATTTTGAAAAAAAATTCTGGCAACACAGCTCGCAAATCAAGTGATGGCTTAAATACAGTGATAAAGATATTTCATACAAAAAAAAAATTTGTTGCGAGTGTCCAGAAAATACATTTTGAAATGTTTATTAATTTGACCAGTCCTTGCCGCGTTCGCCGGCTATAACAATCTTCATATAAACTTATACGTTACTATGCTCACTTCTGATGTCTCTTCTTAGCTTCCATTCGCAAGAGCTTCTTCAGGCCACCGTAAGCCACACATTAGCCATACAAATAAACGCGAAGATATACGAAAATTACCAGTTTGCGTGCAACAGTCACAATTTCGAGCGCATTTACCAGAATGTGCCATTAGAACGCGACACGCACATCAAGCGACAGTCGCCAGCCGCCAGCCGCCAGCCGCCAGCCCCTCAACTCAATAAACCAAAACACTGGGCTTAGCTGCGAGATGGCGATGAAATTAGAAACAAGAAAAAAACAACAAAAAAACAGTCGCAGCTGCAGTGAACGAAGTAAAAAGTAGAAGCTCCGGCGACAGTAGTTAAATTCTAGTTTAGTTGCCGCAACGAATTAATAACTGCAAATTGCTGAGATTTGCTTGGAAATGACACAAAGCCAGCCGGACTGCGGCGAAAATAAACGGCGCACCGCTTTGACAACAACCAGTCGAAGTGGCATTCGAGGAGAATTGGTGCTGGGCAGGCGGGAACTGGCAGTCGACAGCCAGGCATTCGTAGCTGCAATGACAGCGAGTTGCCACATCGGACCGCCGGGTAGGTCAGGATAAGATGAATGTGACTTTGAATGAATGGTAACAATTCAATTGCGGCAACTAGCGAAACAGTTTCTAAAATGTACACTTACGACGGTGGCTACTGTGGCATGTTGTTTGTTGCATGCAACTTCTGCAGCAATCGCGCAACTAGCCAGACCAGTTAATAGGCAAATACGTAGACGTAGCGAAGATTACTTGAAGAATGAGCGCCTTTGGGGAAAGGAAGTCAAACGATTATTAGCAAATAGATGAGATTCGCCACAGACTTGAATAGGTAAAGAAAGGAAAAAAATAAAAATTGGAGTAAAAGTAGACATGCCGATGAGAGGATACAATTTTCGTAAAATCAAAACTGGAGCTACATATCGCTAAATTTATTCAAATAAATTTCGTTTAAGTATTGCAACCGGTTCGTGTAGGAATAGACTTTGAACAAAGGAAGAGTTTCATAAACAATTTTTTTTTTATGTTTATAAACGATCCTTCTAATGTCCTCTTCCTCATTACAAGCGAAACAAATATGATTTCTAAATACAAAATATGTAAACATTTTTAAGCGTATTTTTTAGATGGGGAATAGTTGCATTATCACTGCAGCTGCATCACTGTGCCAGAGCGTCGCCTCACTCCTGTCAACATGTCCAAACAAATGCGACACAAGTCGCAAGTCACCGGTGGAAGAACCGTTGCTGCCACTGCCACTGCCACTGCCACAGCCACAGCCAGCTGCAATTGCATTTGCTGTCGTCGCGACGTCCAGTATTTGGTACTCATCTTGTAGATGAAAATCTACTTGCCTAACGGCCGATGACAATTAAAATGGAACAACTGGTTTTCGTTTGCATGATCTCTTTGTTGCCCATGAAAAATGGGCAACAAGCGCCACAATGTCATCATCATTACAGAAGTGGAGCTCTTCATTGTTGACGTTCTTCGGTTGGCACTCGGACCGACCACGTAGCGTCGCGGAGTTTGTTGATGGAGCTCTGCGACCGTTTCTAATCGCAGCGCGCACAGCGCGGAAGGTGAAAGGAAATCAAAAGCGTTACAGTTCAGTCACGAAATTGCCCGAAAACTCATTATCAAACCGAGCAGCGCGAAGGCCCATTGCAGCTTGATTCGTAGTGCCACACGCCAGACGCCAGACGCCAGTCGGCACTGTCACTGCCATTGCCATAGCCATTACCAGAGCAATGCTAAGCTATGGACATGGTCGTTTAAGTTCATCAGCGCCAATGGCACGGACGTCAGTAATCGCAATCGCTATCGTCATTAGTCAGTCAGCGATCGATGGTCGGTTGGCGGTCGGGCGTTGTTGCGGAAGAAGTTGTCATGCGTCAACAAACGCCAAAGCGTCAAACGCGCGAGATGAGCGGCCTACTTTGTCGTTCGGCGACGCGTCATTGACCGATGCCACCAATTCGTCGCATGTCATTTGTGGCAAGCGCAGCCTAGTAGTACCTGTGCGCGCAGGTTTGCGCCACGACAATTAAAACCAAATGAAGGTTTTTCCTCTTGG